TGCAACAGCCAAGGCAGGGCTGCCTCGTCCAGGAGGAGCATCAGCAAAGTGGTGTACGATGATCATGAGAGTGAAGAGGAGGAGGAGAGCATGGTGTCCGAGGAGGAAGAGGAGGGAGACCCTGAGGATAACCAGGACTCCGAGGAGGAAGAGGAGGAGGAGATAATGGAGGAGGAGGACGACGATGACTCTGACTACCCTGAAGAGATGGAGGATGAAGACGATGCCAGTTATTGCACTGAGAGAAGCTTCAGGAGCCACAGCACCTACAGCAGCACCCCAGGTAGAGAGTCAGTGGGATGAATTAAAACAAGTCGAGGGCACCCCACATGCTCCCCCTAGGTTTGCAAATACAGTCCGCACGCTTTCTTCCTCCCATGCGTGTAGGTAAGGGATGGCTGCGAGCATTCACAGGGAGAGAGGGGTATGCAAATTAACGACTGGCAACCCCACGGGTGCAGGGAACATTAGAAGATGCTTACAAACACATGCACTGAGAGGAGGGAGGGAGGGAGGGCGGGCAGTACATGCTGTAGCAAGGGGGTGCTTTGCAAATATGCATGGAGATTCTGGTGACTGCAGAAATGCATGATACACCAGAGCGTGTTGCAAACAATGTCAAAAGTGTATGGAGCATTCACTTAATATTTAAAACCAAGGGAAACGAGATGCATGCCTTGCAAAGAGGTCCTTTCAAATATATACAGGAAAGGATGGCTTGTGCTTGCAAATATAACTTGATGTTAAAAGGAAAGGAAGCACATGCAACTTGAAGTGGCCTTAAAATAAAAAAAACCAAACAACCATAAGCACTGAAAATTTTCAGGCTCTTGAAATCAGGGGTATAGCTGGATCCAGTATTTACTGGCTTTAAGACAAAACTAGCTTTCCCAGGAGGGAAATGAGGTGCATTGTTCAAAATGGAGATTGCATTGTTATAGTTTGGGGAAAAGTGCACAGGGCCTCATTGCAAGGGTGTAAACCTAGTTTTAGTTAAACACAAAGATTAAAAGGTGGAGGTTGAGTCAAAAGTCTTGGTTTTAAATACTGCATTTATCTTAAGATATGACAACCTTTAAAACTCATGTTGGGGTTAAAACTCGATAAACATAATTGTGATTATTTTTTTAACCTCTAGTGGGAAATTTGGCCTCAATTTTTTAAGGCCTGCACTGCTGTTTGTCCTTAATTAGTTCATTAACCATGTGGGTTTCAAGGTTCAAAAATTCTTTTAGATAAACTTAAGCATTGGATTTATTTGAATTCCAGAATGGAGTTCAAGCTTAGATTTTTTTATTTTTATTTTTTAAAGTCTCTGAACCAGGAGAGTAGATAAACTTGGGGATAACCTAGGAGTGCTTCTGAATTGGGCTATGGGCAAGTATTTGGCCACTTTGGAAGGGGAGAGGAACAGGTGGTTGGTGTAAATGCATCTTAATTAAAAAAGGAGTGTAGTTTTGAGTAGTTAGCTGACTTTTTTTTAAAAGGGGGAAGTACTGGCTACTAAATGTCGTTTGTTTTTATTTTGATGAGTTAATGGCATCAGCTCATTATGTGTCCTTTAAAAAACTGTATGTCTGTCTATATTTTTTTTAAAAAAAAATCTCTATCCAAATGCTCAGGAACCTAAATGAATTAAAATAAGTACATACATTACTAAATTAAGAGATTATTTTTTAAGGTGTTAATTTACCTGTTGCAGGGATGTCCTGCAATCAAATTGAAATTTTTGAATATTTATTACTTTAAAGATTGAGGTCTGGCTTCACAGAAGAAAAAAAATACTCTCTTGACTTAACTCTTCATTTTCTGCTTAGTTGTGGTAACTAATTTTTATTACTTTTTTGGGGAGTGATTTTGTCAGGGAAAGAATATTTTTATGATTTTAATTGGCTAGGTCAGGAAAATATTTTCCTACATGAGCATCCAGGTTTAAAATGTGTTCTACAGATTTTGGGTGTATTCACTTTTTGAAATGTACTAAGTGTTTTGGCAAATAACAAGATACCTCTGTGTGCATTGTTGTGCAAGCGTAGACAGGTTTTGTGTGGTATTTAGGTGTATCAGAAACGATTTTGATAATTTATATGTTTATTTCTCACTTGGTCAGGGTAACTTCAGTTAACTTTAAGATGAGTTCAAGTGTAACCATTTTCATCCTTACGCGCTTTTTTTTTTTAAACTGAATGTTTGATAGCTAAAACACCTATGTTGTTATTTTGGCAATTTACTGGCAGTTCTCATTAGTTCAGTATTTGCCTAAAGGTCTCCCTCCCTCCTCCCCTGTTTCCCAGACATGTTGTTGCCATTTTGCAAAGAAAGTATGAACTTTTGATTGGATCAGCTCAGTCTGTGTCTTGTTTCTGCTGAACAAATACCTACTTGTGAGCACTGCTACACAGTGGTGGCACTAGTTGAAATCTTAGTCTTATCATAATCCAGGAAGAGGTACTTGACATTAGAGCAGCATTAATAGGCAAGGAAAAGATTCACCTAACCTCTGTATTTCTTTTTCTGACAGCGGTCAGTGCAGAGGAGAATGTTAAGAATAGGGCAAGGATACAGTGCTGTGTCTTCAGAGTTCCTTCGTGGGCTCCAGTGCTCTTCGACTCAGGTGCATGCTAAGCCAGAATTGGTCTTGAGCTATGTTTAGATATGGGGTTTTTTTCTTTTATATATTTGTCTTCAAACCAGACAAATTGTGATATAGAGTGACAGAGTTCCTGTGATTAACTGGAGGGCTTGAAGGAGTGTCTCCATTGTTTTAAACTGGCCCCTGACAGAGTCGTCCAGTGCCCGCTAGGTTTTTTCTACTGGAAGAGATGATGAACGATCGTTCTCTGCTTATCTTCCCTCAATCGCGCACATCCTGGATTACTACCACTTTCAGGTTGTAGTCTGTGGGGCTGAAGAGTTTATTTTTTGAGAGCAGGGTATTGAAAAATTGCAATCCAAATCAAACTCTCCTACCAACCAAGATTTTACGCATAAATCACATCCCATTTAAATGGGTGACAGGCTTTTAAAAGTTTTTTTCAAACTTAAATTGAACAATGAATTAAAAGATCACAGTGCAATGTCTCTAGCCAAGAAAGGCTCAATTTTTGTGCTCTGCTGGGGAGTTTGTGATAAATCCTGAACTTGGATGTAGGAGTACTTCTTTTTCTATATTATTATTAAAGTATTTAAAGAAGCAAAATCTTAGGAATGGTAGAATACCTTTGATATAACACTTAATAATGGTACAGTAAAAACTTATTGTGTGAATGCATGTGACATTTATCATTGATTCTTCTTCTGCTGGATGGACTTTTCATAGAGGGTTTTTGTGTGTGTGTGTAATGTCCCTCCTCTCGTATCCCTTTGTATGCCCAGAAGGTAGATGTACTTTTAGGGTAGGTATCCTATATATCTTGTATCACTAAACGTTGTTGCCATTACCTGTCTACTAAAGTTCTACTTTAGATTTGTCACAATTGCATTATAGATATCAAGTATTTTCCATATGCTGTGGAATTTTAAAAGAAGGTTTTAATCAAGATGCCCAGAAGTCCGTAATTTTTTGTTTCTTGATTATTTTTTTTTTCGTCAAAAACTAGGAAAACTAACTTTAGTAAGAGCTATACATCTAGATTTTGGCTAAGAGAATAATCATCAGTCTATCTCGCAAGCAAATGCACAACAGTGGAGTTGTGAGCCAAAAGATTTGTCTTGAGATACATTACATTTTTAGATGGATTTTGCTAGTCTGAGCATTTACAGCGATTGCCCATCACTTCTGTTAACCAGTGACTTGACCAGTGTGCTTTTATCTTCAGAGTGAAAGAATTTAAGTGGAAATGAGGTGCTGCATTTTCTGTGTCTGTAGTAATTTTGTATCTTAACACTTTTTCATGCTCTTGAAGAGTTGCTTAAGTGGACACATTGAGATACCACAGTAAGATATGCAGCCTCTTTTGTCTGTCATGTGAGAAGATTTACCAGCCTTCCAAACATCTTACCTAGGGTGCCCTGTTCTTTAAAGTAAATCTGGCATGCTCTTATTTTACCGTTTAGTAATCTAAACTTTGATTTGTACTCCAGGGGAACTATGAGTAGTTCGTCATGCCAGTCATGAAAAATGTAGAAGACTGAGTCCTAGCAAAGAAATTGTGTAGAAGACCAAACGAGTAAATCTGTGGCTGATTCTGTTGTATTGACATGCAAATTTGCAATTTATCTGAAGAGACTATTTGTCACTTCAGTCATCATTCTAAGAAGCTCTGTGCAGCAAATACCGTACCATTATCAAAGTATGTGTGTTGTAAAAGGTAGAAAACTTTTATGTACTGCAGATGAGTTTATTGTGCCAACTTTTTTTGTAGTTCTGCAGTAAAATTCCATAGCTGATCATTGTATTGCATAGAACTGGTGTAAGGTGAATAAATGTGGATTTTAGTAGATTTGGGCTGCCTCTCGGAGCTCACTAACTTCAGAAATTAGTTACAACTTATCATGAGTGTGTCCCAATTAAGAAATTGTCAGAATGTCAGAATGTTCCTGAAAATCGTTATGTTAGTGCTACTTTTTTTTTCTTTTTGCATGGGTTCTAGGCACAAAAGGGTTGTGCCTCTGAGTACTTCTCAGAATGACGATGTGGGATCTCATCTGCTACTTGTCTTGCAATAGTTATCCAAATGTTAAAATGATGCCTTAGAATATAGCAGCTTTGTATTCCTGGCTCCTGCTGAGAGTGCACTGATGGCCATAATGTTGAGAAATTAAAATGATGTAAAATCAGTAGAGAACCCTGGTTTGATTTAGTAGTGTACTACTGACAGATGTACAAACTGAAAAAATAAACAACCAAAAAGACTTTAAAAACTGTTGTAAAACTTTAAAAAAAGACTTAGTTTTGTACAATGCAAGGCAGTAGTCAGACTTAACTTAGGAGCACATGTTGAGAATTTCTGCGATATGAGTGCTCTCAGGATCTAGTCTAGTAACCGGTTATTTTTTTCATTTGTGCTTCAACTTCCAAAGCTTTTTTGGTGCTTGGAATGTCTCATTTTTAATGTCAGTTTAGATTTTAAGTTTAATCTAGTTTGTGTTTTCGTTTTTTTTCTTTTTCCAGGCAAAACAAATAAATTTGTGTTAGGTACAGTTATTGCAGAGCAATATTCAAATTGGAGCTGCACTTACAAGTGGTTACAAATGCATCTTATTCTTTCAGAAAATATATATGGAAGAGATTGTTTGACTTGTGAATATTAGAAACATGTTGATTTACATGTTTGCATTTTT